TTTAAAATGTTTGGAAGACCAAAATGTTGACAGTTATTTTACTTTCTAGAAACAACTTCAGAAATGTCTGTCCTTTTACATAGCTGTTTTCACTATGGAGGCAAGGCAGAAATAAAATTCGTGAGAAATGTGCATTGCACATACGACTTAGATTGCATTCCCTTAATACTGTTGTGGTTAGAAGCTTTTCATTATTGGAAAAAACATAGATTATAGTTCTACTCTGAAAAGTATGTCTTTAATAACATCTAATGCTAATTTGCACAAAACTTGACAGCAGTGGCCAAGTAATGTTTGTACGTCTCATTGGACATCAAACACTTTTTCTGAAAAAGAGCTTAGCTTTACTAATCAGCTTTATATAAAAAATAATTTTATTTTTAGTGAGGTGATCACAGAAGAGGAAAATACTGGGATCTAGCTGTTTTAGTGGTGGTATATGGGGCAAAAATAATTTGCTTTGATTTTGAAATTCCATGTCTGATAGACAATGACTTTCCCTAGGAAATCTCTATAAAGAAGCAAAAATTACTTCTGTGGGCTGTAATAATGTGTAGCCACCCAAGACGTGAAGTAGTTTTCACAGCCTGTCTACAAATTCTGTCTTAAAATTAAGAAAACAAAGAAATAGGCCTTAGTCATCCAGGAGGATTTAATGAGATATTGCAGACTTGTTTAAGCTTAGCATTTGGTGTAAAGTTGCGGCTTGTAGCGTTCAGTCTGTCTCTACTCCCTTGCCTTTTTTTTTTCCTTATTGTATTTGTACTACTGCTTTCTCATGCTCCAGAAACTGTTTTTGTTTGTGTATTTCATTGAAATCTAGCTTTGTTAGAAGATAAAACAACATGTGGCAGAGTCTGTCTATACCTAAACCAGAAAATTCTTGAGCTGTTTTTTAAAAAAGCTACTTTTGTGAAGTGCCACTGATACTATGCAACAGAGTTCATAGAGATAGTGCCTTTTTATTGATCTGCTGATACTGTTTGGAGACTTTTGCTCGCATAATATCTTCATTAGATTTGGTAAAGTTACGAATGACAAACTAAATGACAAAGTGTAGTAGCTCTTGGTTGCTGTATTTGATGATAGCAGTATCCCATGGCAGTGGGAGTGTAAAGGATCCCCATCAGCATACTGTGTTTTTAGCTTCTGCTGACACAGCTGCTTGCGAGACTGGAGAAGAGAATTAACCTGGACTGTAAGATGTATTGAGGAGTTCGTTGGGAATATGAAAAAATGTCTGATCCAGCTCCTTCTAATACTGTAATACCATTTGCTATTTAATCCTTCTAATTCCATGAACTAATATGACCAACAGAATTCTTAATTTAGAGTACCTATTCTTAAATATTATTTCTGGCTTATTATTAGCTAAACAGAGGAGGACCTGTGACCACATTTGCGCAAAGCCACAAAATAAGGTGGCTGTGCATGTAAAAGAAAAACAGCAGTTGATTTTGGTGACCTGCTGATTCTGCTACTCTATATTGTGAAAACCTTAACTAATCAGGACATAAATTTACTGAATGCTTACACTTGGAGTACTACAACATTGTCTGTAAGACACAGTGAGAAACCACGTCATGAGTTGATGCTAAACTAGGTCTATTACTAAAAGGCCTTTCTTTCCATCTCTCTCCTGTGCCGGTCACTAAAGATCTAGCAGTCCTCTGAGGCTTCTAGGTGAGCTCTGAGAATATGGAATTAGTCCTTGAGACATCCCATAGCTGGCAACTCAGGGTCTTAATGCAAGACATCAATTCTTTCTCTACTCCATGGTTCTTTGGAGCAGATTCATGGAGGCTCCATATATGCCCTATGCAGAGACTTAATTAAATCCCAGTAGCAGCACAGCAACTTCTGGCACAGTTTGCCACGTGAAGGCTAGAGGTAGGCATCATTAGCAGTCATCCTCACCTGTGGCACTGTTCAGGCTCAGTCCAGTTGGCTCCTTCAGCATAATTAGTATTAATGAGGTTATACCTCAGCACTGATGGCACAGCTCCACTCGGTTCTCTTCTCAGTGCAAGCTGATGAGGGGATCATCCCTAAACCTCCTTCTTAATTCGTAGGAACTTTGAAGTTTTGGGCTGTCCACTGACTACCATGAGAGTTTGATTGTGAGGAAAATGCCATTATAAGGATTGATTGTCCTTCCAGACTTAGATGGGACTCAAAATGGATACCTGAGAGCTGCTTTTTTAAAACAAACAAGAAAAGAAAAAGAAAAAAATCCTACGCTTTTCTGTAGTGTGTTTTTTTAGCAGGAGCTTTCTCCTCTACCCTAGTCTCACCAAATGCTGGAAGATTGTTATTTATTTACCTGTTTTTTTACCTAACTCTGAAATAGCAAGCTGAGTACTTTACAATCCCCTTTTGCCTTTCCACCTGCATTGGCTAACTAGTATACAATGCCACAGGTAAAAGATGAAAAACAGGACGTTATTCGTGGCTGGTGATAGTCAAAGTCTGATGTTACTCTGTCCTCAGCAGTGGAGTTGATTCTGATTTACTTTAGCGTGAACAGAGAATCAAACTTAAAGTCTGCAGGTTACAAACGGTACCATTGCTTAACTCACTGGAGTTGCACACTCTGAGTATGACTTCCGTGGGAATGCTTTCAAGATCTTACTCAGACATGTGGCACTATGGTCACGGCGCTAGGTTAGTTAGGGCAGGAAAGTTAGGTCTGGGTAGAGGAGCTCAGTGCAGGGTGCATTATCTGCCTACAGAAGGGATAAATTCTTAATCAGTTAGCCACCCCTTTGCTCCGTGCTTCACCATTCCAGCTGCACTCCCAGAAGTACCTCTGTTTGCTTGTTGAAACACAGTTGTGTATTCTTGCAAGCACGATGCGTTAGTGTGAATTATTATTAACCCTGCTAGCTGGTGAAACTTTTTCTCCTTATTTTTACATATTACTGTCACAGAGCAGAAAGAAACTACCTCTTCTTGTTTTGCTTGTCTTGGAAAAATGTTGCTAGGGGATAGTTGTTTAAACTTTTAGGGAAAAATTAACTTCATTGTGGCTATGACACTTGGCTTAATATAAGAACCACTTGAGTCTGCTTTTTCTTAAATAAATAAATAAATAGATCAATCAAACATACACATTATGTTATCAGCATAGTGCTCAATACTGTAGAGGAGGAAAAGATAAGTCACATTCAGACTTAAGCAGTTCTCCAAAGAGTAGCAGGAGGTGTTTACTGCCTTCTTGTTGTCTTGCTCAAAGCCTAGATAAATACACTTGGATTAGTGGGATGTTGGAGGGATTATAATATTACCATGTTCTAGAATAAAATAAATTTTGAGTTTGGTTGCCTCCTCTTTGTGTTTAATGTCTACTTCATATTTTCTCCTTCTGATGTTGCAAACGGTGTTGTATATGAAGGAGTTTATTAATAACAGATTGTAAGAGAGGAAGGATGTGTAAACCCAGAAGTTTTCTTTCTATGCTGCAAGCTGGAACACAACAGCCATCTAAAGAAACTAAATAAACAATTCAAATTTAAGACAATTGTGTTTGTGCCCAGATGGAAATTTTTTTGTAGTCATGTAACAGTAGGATGCTTCGAAGAGGGGTCTAAGCTTTGTTTAGGAGCCCTGGGAATAAACCTAAATACTAGCTCCTTGTGCTTTGATGTCACTATGCAAGGCCTCAGAAAGATGCCAGATGATACTCAAGCGATTCATAGATGCAAAGGAAATACTGGTACTGTATTTCCTGTTTAATATTCATGGATGCATGCATACATGCATGGAGACAAACATACCCCCAAATCTGTTTGTGGAATCTAAGAAGTGAATGGGAACTCCTGAAAGTCAGGAAAGGCTAAAGTTAATGTCATTCGTGCATGCTTACTGGTGTTCGTTACGTGTGTGCTCTGAGTTACTGCCTTGGAATATTAGTATCTCTCAGTGAGTGAGTAAGTCATATTAAAAGGAGTTTCAGTGGCTTTAAATATGCATATAAAGCTCTTTGAACTAGGTATTATTGTATGAATGTACTTGAAAATATTAGATAAATGTGAAGAAACTGAAGATAGCATTTATTGAGCATCCTCCAAGAAGAACCTAATATTGTTGCAGGAAAAAATTTCACGATGTATTTGTATAAGATGAATGTGTTACCTTGTAACTATGGAATATTATGTGTACAATATAAGGAAAGTTGTGATTTATTATATGTCCTGATCAAAGACTCTCTACTATTCTTTTGGTCTAGTTAGGAGCTGCTTTTGTGGTTGCTGTTTTGATGGTTTACCTACTTTAGTAAGAGGATGTTCCACCAGAACAAGCTGTCAGTGTGTCTGGTGAACCCAGAAGCTCATTCTTTTATCTTCAACAGCACAGAGACAACTTTTTTTTTTTACCCAAGACATATAGAGCAAGGAAAATATATGGATAATGTTTCTGTTTGATTTTTGTGTCTGTTAACTCTGGGTTTGAGTGGCTTTCCTGCTCATGACAATTTATTCAACTCACAGAAGAATTTGACAGTCAACTAGCCCAGGAGCTAAAGACAACAGCTTTTGTAGTCTGTGGGTTGTTGTCAGCAAGATTGACTTTTTCTGAGCAATGTGAAGGGTAGCAACTCTTTCTGATAGGTTTGGCTCTAATAGTAATGGGAAATGGAAGCAGAGTTTGCTAAATGCTGTGTCTTTCTCAGTTTAGTGTGATAATAATTTCGCCAAATCATTTGACAAAATAGGTAGGTCATGCTAGCAGTGCTGGAATTGTGTTGTCCTGGAAATAGCCTGGATGAATGAAAGCAAACAGAATGGTAGGCTTTATGTGGATGTTGATTTCTATTGTTAGGAAATGTGTTGGCAAAATAGTTTTTCATCATTCTAAGTTTTTAATCTTGTTTTTAGCACTTTCTCACTGTTTCTCTGCAGTGGTTTCCTGTTGACCAAATTGGAGTGTTGATTTTTTTACATCTGTTATTCTGTTGCTTTACACAGTTTTTGGGATACGCAAAGTGGAACAGGATCACCATGTTTCGAAACAGTCTCAAGATGCTTCTTACAGGAGGGAAGTCAAACCGCAAAAACAGGTCCAGTGGTAAGTAAATGTCAACTCCTCATGCATGTGTTTTATTTACAGTTTTTGAAAGTACTCCTTTTATGTGTGTTTCGGTCTTACTGGGACTTTTTTCTTTTTAATGAATAGATGTACTCGGTTGATGATCTTGTAGACTCAAAACATCATCATAGGTCTTTTTAATATTGTGCTGTGATTTAATATTTAAAAATATATGTATATTTATTTAAAAATGTATGTAAACCACAGTCTGTTTTTATTGGGGAAATAAGATGTAGGGAAAACCAAATAATATTTATACATAATCCTGTAGTAAACTAACACTAAGGTTCATGTTTCAATTATGGCAATTAAGAAAATAAAAATTTTTCCTTGAAAATGACTGTGAGAACTTGTGGCGGTGAAATCTTCATTACAGACAATACTTGTGATAGCAGTAGCAATTGTTTTTATTTTTTTACTTTTAAACAGGAAGGAGAGAGGGCAATGGGAAGAGATGGAATTAAGGAGAAATTGCCCAAATTTAGTCACCAGTTCTGTTAGTCTCCTCTTTCCGCCGTCCCAGGAAAGTTTACAGTTAGCACTGGTTCATATGGCTTGGCCTGTTTGATCCATGAAGGAGGTTAGCAGAGATTGTAATTGTGAAGCAAAACATTATAAAAATATTGATATGCTTTAAAAACCTTCTTATTTAACTTCTGTTTTTATTTCCAAAATTGGAGTGCTGGCAGTGTAAGAGCTCTTAATTAGATCTTTCATTTTTCTTTTTAAAGCCATCTGGCAGCACATTTTGAATATTTTGGGATACAGTGTTTATTTGTGCTTGTGTGTCTGTGTAAATAGTGCATATGTATATTCCATGGGAAACCACAAGTGAAGATGCAGAGGTACAATGGTGATAAATGCAATGGAAAAATCAGGCTGTTTTCCCTTGGTTGAAACAAGTTAACTTGTTATTTCTTACAGTGCCAGAATTTCCCCCCCCCCCCACTTCTAATATCTTAGTACCCCGAGTTTTATGTGGGGAAGGGGAATTGTGTTTTTCAGCAGTACAGCTTCGCTGTGTCCTGAAGTTGCCTGCTAGCGGTGCTGACTTTGTTTTGGTCCTTAGACATCAGTAATCTGTTAGAGTCTGCTTTCTGATGAGAGTCCCAGTTTGTGTTGGTTGATCCTGAAGATATTTGCCATGAAAAGTTTAAGCAGTGTGTCATGGTGTTGACTTCCTTGCATTAGTTATTGTAAGTGGCGTGTATCTCATATAGTGGGAAAAATGTCTATTTTGCAAAGACGCCCTAAGTAATTCCAGCCTGAGGTCGTGGTTGTTGTTCACTGCTTTTATGAAGGAGATTTTCTTTCCTTATGAACTCCTCAGTCTTTTGTTGCAGGAGTGGTTAATCTGAGGGAGGTACCTGCATAAAAAGGCAGGTTTGGGAAAGATATGCGAGTAGATGGCTCTGTCTTCTTGTGATTTTGTATTTCTGTGAAGTATCACATTTATGATTGAAAGCACAGGAAAGTACACGTCCTCTGATGATACTCACAACCTTTGGAAAAAACTGTAAATAGACAAATAGCTTAAATTGTGGTTTCTGTATGAAGCCGTATCTTTGTCAGATGTTCTGTTATCAGTCCCTAGTATTCCTTTTGGCTTATCTCCCGAAGAAATATTAAGGATCTTGTATGTGCAGAGCTTTGCAAATATGTGTTTCTTATTTTGTGAATGAAAAATGCAAGTTCTGAAATAACAAGATTTGATATGCTTGTACTTCTGTCTTTAAGCAAAACGGAAAAAGAGATGGGTCTTCTTAAAAAAGAATATGGGATTCTTTAATAGATGAGGTTTTCTCTAATGCCTAATGACCATACTGTATGTTCAATTTATTGTGATTCTGCCTTTGAAATAAGTTGCTTTATTGAGAAGTTCTGTTGGCATTCTTCAGGGGAGGAGAGGGAATAGAAAAAGGAGATGATAAGGTTTGTTATATTAACAGTGTCCAAATGGAAAACATCCCTCCACTGGAAAGTAATTTTTCCGATAAGTGTTAGTCTATCAAACTATAACATGGCATTAGATGAATTCGTTGCTGCTTAGATTTTTTTTTTTCTAAATAAATATATTTAACTCTGTATTTCTTTGCAACACAGTAAGTAAAAAAATCAGTAGCTCTTCCAGGTACATTTCTGTGTAGCCTACAGCAGTATAAGCCTGAAATTTGCTTTATTTATTTGCTTTGCAATTCTGGCAAACTACAAATTTCATGCTTTAAAAGTCGATAAAAAAGGAGAGTGCTTCTCTAATAATATACAAAAGGAATTTGTCACCCTGTCACTGCAGTGACAGAGCGGTCCTGTGCTGGTCTGAACAACCCAACTTGATACTCATTATCGTAGTTGTCTGCTTTGCTTACCCTAAACCTCCGTGCTCCCTTTCTCTTTGTCCTCCCTTCCTTCCTGGTCTCTTGGTATGCGAAGGAAAGGATCTTGAGGAATCCTCCCACCCCCTTGGATAAATGCACATGTATAACTACAAGTCCAAGCGTTTCATTCTCTAGAACGTTTTCACATGGCGAGTGTGTACCTTCAGGTCACCTACATCACTGTTGCCTTCACTGTTAAGATTTTGTGGGGGCATAGGTGGGACACTGGGGGTTCTGGATATTTTTCAGCCAAGTGCTTTAACAAGATTAGGTATTTATTGCGTTTAAAAAAATATATTTATCATTAACATGATTTAGATTGCTAATTAGAAGTTGGAAATGAAGTTTCCCTGGTGGCTTTGGTGTTCTGACGTGCCTTGTGGCCGCAGAAGCTGTTACCTCACGGGGCAGTGTGTGTGATCTGGAGGGTAGAGCCGGGGGAGAGGGAGGGTGAGCTGCCCTGGCAGCAGAGGCAGATGTTTCCAGAACAGCCCGTGTTCACAGGGAAACTGCAATGCAGAGCTACACCCATCTCTGGGAATCGGGAGCAAACTCAAAATCATAAGTTCTGTGTTGTGAAAGTAATCTATTAGAGGTTTCAGGTCTGCTGTTGATTCACCTTCCATGTAATGATTTTAAATTACATAGGTAGGTGACAGCCCACTCAGGTGTCTCTGGTGCGTGTGGGTTTGAATGAAATTGCAGTGTGTGTATCTTAATTTCCTACACTCCAGTCATTTTGCATTCCAGTGCGGGAGTAAACCTTTGAAGGAGGGTTAAAGGTATTGTGGTTTTTTTTCTTGGGGAATCCAAGTGAGCACACTGGCCTTTGAAATTACTGCTCTTTGCAGTTTCTTTCATTTGCAGTAACATAGTTAGCAAACGGGGTCAGTGAAGTCAAGCTAACAATCCCTAGATGTTGTGATGTGGTTTTGATAATTCTTCATGATTAAAAGAACACTGGTAGTGGTAACAGTAGAATGCCTTCTTATTATTCCTCCTTCAGAAACTGCTGAGCAACTTCTCTGAAGAACTGTGGTTAAAATTTATTTTGACTCAGCTGGGGTGTTGTGTTTTTTTTTTTTTTCTTAGGTACTCTTTATGGTATTGTGGTTCAGGAACACACAAAATATTTATAAAAGAAGAATACCAATTACATCTGTATGAATGTACAGTTACATGCAGTAATGCCAATTAAAATAAATGAAATTCTACTGCAACATCAGATTGTGTAATCTCCTGTGGTTAATTTTGTGTGTATGTACTTTCAAAACTCTACTGATAGGATTTTGTAGCAGCGTACTGTATGCAGTATAACTCTGTGCATGTGTATTTGTGCGCATATTTAATCTCTTGTGTTAACAAAAATTCTCTTGTGACTCAAGGGCGCTCAAGATATTTTACAGTAATGCCTTGAGGACGCATTATGACTGCAATAGTATTTTGATTAGGCTGTATTTTCATCTGTCATAAATGGATATTCCACAAAGCTACCAGACAACAGTGTCTGTAAAGCTGAAATGTGATCTGAATGTAGTTAAATATTACCTTTATTTTTCTATTCTAAATTAATTTACAGAGATATGCAGACATGTAAGTTTTCTGACTGCAGTGTGTATCCAGGACTAAATTTACTTAGGATATGTTTGTTTTAAAGTGTAAAAGGACTGTGCTTTGCTCCATCCTTTTATCCCATCTGGCTGAAGATCCAGCATGATTATTGTGGCCAGAAGCCCTATGGCTAGGGCAAGCAGTTGCATTAAAACCTGCAGGTAGGCACTCCTGCATGCTGCTGCTTGTCAGAAATTTTTGTGAGGCTTCTCTCCCCCTAATTCAGCCCTTCCAGGGCAATTCTGTTCTAGTCTCTGAATCCAGAGACTATAAGGTATTCTATTGTTTTTATCTGTTTATCAAGGACCTGTTTCATATTTATCTGCAGTTTGCTTGCTTATACTAAACATTCATTGGTCTGGGTATGTATTTAATTAGTTTACATCAAATCAGTCTGCTAATACATTCATTCCAGTATTGCGTTAGTGAAATAAGTCTGTGTAATGGATCCAATCTTTCTACTTATTATAATTATCCTTGTTTCTTTTCCAAGCAGGTGGACTATTTCTTTCTTACATTATCGCGTTAAATTAATACTACTGTAAGAGTTCAGATTCCCTTTAGAACCTAGTAGAACTCAGCTGCAAAACTGCGCATTTTATTTGGTTTTATATTTCTCCTCACTTTGAGGTGTAAGTCCAGGATTTGTGCCTTTTATTTCTGGCAGAGGCCGAGGTAGATTCTTAAAGTACTCTTGTCTTTTTTTTTTTCATGTTAAATTTATCTGAGGCATGTAATCCTTTATAAACTAGCCCAAAGGCTCTGCTTTTTTCTTCTGAGTTGGCTAGGAATTGTATCTTACTTGTTCTTAACTGATATAATGCACACCATTTTTATCTTGAGCTTACCAGCTAGGAGCCTGCCTGTCATTCATAATATTTTCAGTGTAGGGTTTTTAAAACCTGTTCTTCTTTCCTGGTTCACAGGAGAGCCAATTACTTCTAACTTCCAATGTATTTATAGGGTCTTTTGGAACCTGCCACTTTATATTTT